GATGTACTGATGGACGATGGATGTCAGTTGAATTGCGATTGAACGTGCTCGGCCTAGCTGTCCATACGCCTCTGTTGGTTGGTGATGGGAGATTCATCCAACTCGCAAATAACCTCATTGACACCAGGCTTCCTGAGGCCAGTGGACTGAATGAGTTGGAAAAGCTTGCGAGCGTTGCCAGATAGGGCAGCGGTCTCTATCTCTAAAGCACGCTCAAATCACCATGCCTCGCGATCCTTGCGTAGGTTTTGTTTGAGCAGCCGTTTGCAGAGCTGTGCCGCTCGTTGCAATCTGATTCTGACGTGATATCTTTGCGGCGATCAAACAGCTCCAGAGAGCGAGCAGAGATCCAAGCCTTTAAGAGGCGTCGAACTAGGCTGCAGCTTGACTGTCCGGAAATTGTCATCGCTTTTCTGTACACAAGGTTTAGTGTTGCTCTAAGTGTTTGCAGGTGGTTTGCAAGTGAGGTGCGTATGCCTGGACAGAGGAATCAGTTGATCGGTTTACATCAATCTTGCGGTGCTTCGTGTTTCGGGACAGGATAAAACACATGCAGATTTTCGCGCGGACCAGAGCATGATCTGAGTCAACGTAGGTGGACCAAAAAGATCTGCAGTCCAGTACGCTGCCACGTCATCTGAAGCTAACTGCAATGTGATCAATTTGAGGCCACAGTTGTGTTGGCGAAAGGGGACGCTACGTTGCGGAACGCTTCTTCGTACGCTTGAAGCTAGTGTTTGAGAGAAACAGATGGTTGTCTTCGCACATTTTGAGAAGCGTCTCCGTCATCAGAGCGGTCCTCATCAAGCGCGTAGAAGCCACCAAGATGGCGTTCGTATGGTAACAGGAGGCCAACTCGAGCATTGTGGTCCCCAGCAATGACAACGACATCCGACATTTTAGCATTAGTCAAGACCTGATGTAGCTTTCAATAGAATTCGTTCTTGATCGAGCTATTGCTGCAGTCAATTGGAGCGTACATGGAGATCACAAACAAGTTGCGTCTCTCTTCGCGGCGCTTGTTAAGTCTACATGAACCCCGAAGCCGAACTGCCCACAGTCGGCTGCTATCGAAAATCAGTCCTCGGCCTTGCCACTTTGTGCTATATCTACATTAGCCAAACCCGCTGGGGCTGCTTTTGGATCTCCAGAAAGACGCAGGTGATATCCGGCTTCATAGTCAGTATGGGGTGTCAATGTAAGCACAGTGCTGGGGTCTTGCAATCGGGTTTCTGAAAGGAAGCAGACGTCAACATCAAGGGACCCTAGGGTGCGCGTTAGACTGGCTTGCTAACCAATCTGTATGAGTGTCCGAAGGTTGAAGCACGCCAGACGGAAGGAGGATCGAGGACGAAGGAGAGCCATAGGTTGAACTCCATGGTTCGCGACGCAACCGGAATGGCAGCCAGATTTTTGAACACATGAATTGGGTAACGGGAAGTAAGGATTGTCAGCAAACAAACAATTTGCATGTGATGAAGCCGCTTGAATGAAAGGAGCAGAAACGGTATCCCATGAGCATGTTGTAGTACAGTACGGTAGTAAAAGTGTATACCATCACCCAATCCAATAGGTCATGGTGAATAAATCTCAGCATCAAACCCTATAATAATAGAAAGTGACAAGAAAAAGAGAGATCGACAGAGTAAAAGGGGCATTCAGGTGACCAAAGATGACCACGTTGGGTTATGCGTGCGCGCGGTTGTCCAAGCACAAGGAGAATAGTGAAACGCGGTCACTACGGTTATTTGGGAATTTCTAACCAGAGCGCAAGTAGGTAAAACTGGAATTAGACAAACGAGCCATTATGATCAACTATGTTTTCAATCATCGAAGTTTTCCGCGGACGTACGATTCGCACGAGCTGTAAGAGTACTTCGTTGCTTCTTACAGCACTGATTCTATCTATGCCTCTGACTTATGCCAGCCTACAGTTCCCCCGAAACATCGTAGAGGTTCCAGACGGACGCCATGGCGGAGATGTACGCTATCGGGCTTGTCCCCAGGTTGCGGATCGGAGAATGCCTTCCTTGTGGAGGCAACTGTGAATAAGTCTAGATTGCTTAGCAGGCGAGATGAATAAGCAGTCGTGGATAATCAGCGGCAGCGTCCCAGAGCGTGGGGAATTCTGGGGTGGTCACCTGGTTCTCCATCAAATGCCACAAGAGCTCGTACGGCGCTGTGTCAAAGCAAATGTGACCGAATATAGGGTCACTGACCACTCACTCCTGTAAGTGGGGGTGAGTATCTAACGGAGGGCAGATGAACAAACTTTTTTGCCACCGCCTTCTCTGTGGGCTGCTTCCGAACACAAAGAAGGCGAATGAGCCATTTGGTTGTCAACGGTCTTCGTGAATCACCCCGCTGCTTTGCGGGTCAGGTCTTTAGGCCAAAGGCTCAGGGTGGGGTCCCTTAAGTTAACCTATTTCCTCGTCCTGGGCAACCGGAAAGTTGAATGCCCATACAATGCATGGAACTTTGCTTCCATTCTTTTATTGTTGTTATTGTTATGTGTTGTGGCACTCTGCCAAATGTTTATTGGGCAAGTGTTATATATATATATATATATATATATATATATATATATATATATATATATATATATATATATATATATATATATATATATATATTCAAATAACCCAATAAACGCTGTGGTGATTCTGACGTTATACAAATGAAACAATCCAGGTACAGGCAACTACAGCCGTCAGCAATCAGCTTACAGTGTTATCAACGCAGATGCTTAAAGCAAAACTGATATGACGCATCACAAGATGGAGCTGTTGCTGACATTAATGCAGCCTGGAGAAAATTCTACATAGCAGTTTACCAAAAACTGGGATGGATTAACTACATTATAAAAGGTAAGTGGTTTTAATAAGCACTCAGAGTGCTGACCGAATGTAGTTTATACTAACTACAACTATATGGGAGTGAGATCAGGTCGACAGACATAAAGAGGCTAGTCATGTTCGATCATCGCTGCCTTTCAGCTTAGCTCATGTTTGGTGGGAGCACTGCGTGAACAATGGGCGTCTTCGGCGTCGCGTATTTGGTGTAGGAAGAGCTAATAAATCGCTCAGCACCATTATATCACGCACCAGACTCCGATGGCTGGGCCACGTGTTGCGCATGCCAGCACACCGACCTCCGCGACGTGCATTATTTGAGCTCCGGGGGAGCAGTTGGAAGACGAGAAGAGGAGGCCAAGCGATGACTTAGTCGAAAGAAATGAAAATCCGCACTTCGAAGTTGGCGTCAGTTGGTACATGCCGACTGCCTGGATGAGATTCTAAAGACGATGAACACTTTTGTCTGTGTTGTCCATGTCATTGGCCAACCCCCTCCCTTTTAGATTTTCCTTCCAATTCCGATCTCATACGAATCACATATTATAATAGTTAACAGTATAGTACCTGCTTTGGTAGTGTAATTTGTTTGTACACTACCCTGTTGTATTGCGTCACATTGGCTGATGTGTGTTTCTCACCTTCAACTAAAGTGCATTGATGAGGACATGTGAGTGAGTCCTAAATGACTAGTTATGTAAATATATTCCGCAGCAGCAAGTGATATAAATTCACAGACTTGGATTGCGGTGCGTTATCGTGCGGGGTGATTTATGAGAGAATAGAAAATAAATCAACGCGATGGGCATAAAGAGCAGAAACACGAGATTATCGTAGGTTGAGAATTTGAGTAACGGTATATGGCTGTGTATCCTTACTCGAGAAAAAGTGTCAAGTATAGATAATTTAAATCGGGTGGATAAAAATCTGCATATAAAAGAATGTGAGTGATTAAAGGGAGAGCCACGATAATAATAAAAAATCAACAGGAAAACGCTTGTGGCAAATCCCAAACCTTACCAAATACTTGCAGTCGCTAGAGATGGCGATTGATAGGATGGGACCGGTGTGAAATGGGTAAGAGGAAGACCGCTTCCCACCGAAAACGGTTTGAATTCTCCGAAATTCCTTTATGCACCCTTAAAAGACCATTATGTGATATTGGTGAAAGGACTAACATTTAATAATGGTTGAGTCCTTGCCTCCACTAAATGCAGAAACTGTTGTCATCTGTGACGCAGATGCACGTAACGGGCTCTCCTATGACCTTTCCAAAAAGCGAAGTCAGAGAGTTTCGGAGAAGGAAGCTGAAATACGTTGTTGAAAACCAAATTGACTACTTTGAGTGCGATAGACACCATGAGCTTTCCCTTCTCAAATAAAGCCTCCTCTTTGAGCTTCATAGAATACATATTGAGTTCCTCCTCATCCGATCCAACTTAAGAAGTTTATGAATACAAGAAACTAACTCTGCCTTTTTGCCTCTTGCCACTATTCTTCTTGTCAGACGCACGCGCTTCGCATGAGGCCGACTCAGCTTCGTGTACACTAGAAAATGTCCGAGTCTTGAGAAGATCTAAAAGAACCAGGCGCAAAGGTTTGACTACTTACAAAACGGCCTGTTCGTCATCCGACGGAACTTCATCCATCTGAATTTTGTCTAATAATCGAATAAAAAAAAAGAAAAAAACTACGTACAGTGCGCTTTGAGGGAGACGATGGACTGTACCATGAGTTCGGCGTGGCATGGTGTTGCAGTAAGATCCAATAACAGCGGATTTCAACGTGGTGTGTTAGGTCCTTTGCTCCACTTGATGGTATATCAGTGATATAACCTGAAAAACGAATTTGGGATACCATATATCATTGCGATTGAAATTAAAAATACTACCACCCTTCAAGGATCCGGTGTTTGAGGCAGGGGGATACTCTAGAAAACGTTCGCATGGAATCGTGGTGCACCGATTGGCAAATGTCTTTCACAGTGGACAAATGCAGTGCGTTGGCATGCAAGTGCGAACTTTCGCCAAATGCACTTTACCTTGGTGGTGAACCCATCTCTTGTACCAAGACTATCGTGATCCATACATTCCGAATTGTTGTGAGCAAGTTGTATTTATAACAACCAGATAATAAAGTGTAAAACTCAGGACAATTTCATTTCCGGTGCACGAACCTACACCGCCCTGTGGAGAGTACTGCTCGATTATTTTTGCAACCGGCAGGAAGCGCGATCGCGTGTGCCTAGGAAACGTGTAGCGGCCATTCACAAAAGCTCTCTTTAACCCATCGTTCAAACTTAACTACTCTGAATGCTGTAAGATGTTAGATCTGGAGCCACCGTGGCTAAAACACATGAAGTCAGGACAAACATTCCCACTTGACTTGATTTATAAGCGTGTGATCACACTAAATATCGCAATTCACTTCAAGCAAGAAGGAAGATACGCAATTAACGATGCTAAGAACCAACTCCCGGTGTTCAAAACGAAAAGTAATGTCCGAAGAAAATTCTAACTAAACAGATGCACTGAGATGTGGAACAGACTCCTTATTGGAATAAGAGAATGCGAAGTGCAACCAGTGCCTAAAAGAGCAATTTCAAACTGCCTGACAGTGCAACACGTGAAACAATGTTGAAATTAAATTGCAATGAAAGAACGCTATGTGAGGAGGGGATAGAGACGTAGGTGTAGTGAAGACAGATATACCGAAAATAGGCCACGTACAATGGTATTTACTTCGCCAGGCCATCCAGAAGAGATGAAGTTAAAAAATGAAAAGTTGACAGAACCCCCTTCACTCATCTTTATGCGACCCTTTTTCGATTTTACTCGGGAAAGCATACCTCACAGACACACCAATAAGTCTGGATTGCAGAGGAATTGCAAACTGAGATTGGGATAACCATTTTGTCTCCACTCTTCATATTCTGCTTACTCAGCCACGCCTTGCTTACAGCTGAGAAGGAAACGCTGACTGAAGCTATCCAAGTTCACTCACTTTTACCAATTATTCTTCTCTTACTCGTCTATGCTTCCCCAGTTGTAAACATGTAAACATGTCAGGCAGTAATGTGAAGCTAACCGACTCTGCTTTCAACATCATCCCTATTTCCAATGTCACATTTTCATTTCACCTCTTAACTCGTTTACGTCTAACGACAAACAAAAATGTCTGAGCCAGTAGACAAGTGTCCACCACGTTCGCCTCACACAACAAACACATCTATCTGTATCGGCCCATATGTACAGCTGCTGAACTGAAAACTAATAACTACCTGTCTTCACGCTTTTTTAGAACTGCACAATGTATAGAAAATGTTTAGCCTAAACTGGGTGCAAAGTTCAATAACTATGAATACAGCGTTCATATTTCCTTTATCACCACATAACTGCTCTTCATCCTTTACCCAAGGAAAAGAAAACTTGGTTCCTTTCGTACACGGAGCTATCCGTCAGGACACCATGAATTATTCTGTGCCCATTCAAAGCTTTGAACTGGACAACCATGGATGTTAAAAACACGATACTTATTACTGACTGTAAATAATGCACGAAACAATGGTAAAAATTTGATTATCCCGAAAAGGGCACGCTTCGTAAACTTGAGAATATACATTATTATTATTACATACGTTAAAAGAAAAGACATCAGAGATCAACAATAACTCAAGACCAACTAGTCCAAGGAATAAAGGAAGTATTGGGAGTATTTAATATAATCAGGACCCCAGACCCATACACCCGCAAACCGGTTTCCGAGTTCGTGTTCACAAGTGAAACGGAGATTCTCGTGTGTGTCATTGAAAGTTTTCAGCAAATGTTCCGCATGATTTTCGGATTTGCGAAGTACGAAGGTGTCGTCAACATATCACACATACATTTCGGTTTCACGGATGTGCGTTGCAAGTGGGCCATGTTCCGATTTCTCTATGAAAATACCAGCCAGCAGCGGCCCCAAAGGAAATCCCATGGCCACTCCGTCAATCTGACGGTACATTTCACCATTGAAGGTGAACTGAACATTTAACGTGCAACGAAGTAGCACCTCCTTTAGCAAATTCTCCGGAAAGGTTGCGTATATGGGCAGTTGCCGAGCAAGCTCGCATATGTAATAAACAGTTTAGAGCAATGGAATCTTTGTGAACAGCGACTGGGCATCGAATGATATCATCCCTTTGTTAACAAGGTTGCTTTCAGATATCCTCACAATTAATTCGAACGTGTCTCTCACGCAGTAAGTACAAATCAAATTCCGTAACGGATGCATCTTTGCCACCATCCACTGGGCCAACAAATGCTGAGGAGAACCCACCATGTCCAAGATTGGGTGCATTGGGACGCCTTCCTTGTGAACTTTAGGCAGGCCATATAATCTCGTTAGGTGTCCCCTGAAGTTTTCAGTTTTTCGAATTTGTTTTTCGTGATGAGTTTGTTTTACATCATTCGCCTGAGGCAGTCGGTTAGCTGTTTCCCTAACTCTCCTGTGTTGTCTTTTCCTGCCATGAACCTCTGAAAGTTACTCTCCTCACTGAGAATGTGTTGCATTTTATGGATATAATCCACCCTATGCATTAGCACTATGCCGGAGCCCTTGTCTGGCTTAGAGAGTATTAATTCGTTGTTTAACCGTAGCTCTTTAAGTGGCTAAATTTGTGCCCTAGTAACAATACTATTACTAGATGGTTTAGTCTTAACGTATTCGTGACAACTATGAACTAGGCTAGATTTTGGATACTTAACATCACTTAATGAGGTTGGAAGCAGGTCTTTAGTCTAAGCAATTAGGCTTTCAAACTGCACCTCTAAAACCGCTTGATATATTTTCTTACATGGCATGCAAAAGTTTGGACCTAATGACAACACGTTCAGCTGCGTCTGGGTTAGTATCACACTTGAAAGGAACACATATCGCTAAGGGTTATTCGAAAATGCCAACCGGGGAACATGGCTATTAAGCGTATTAACTTCTTTTGTTTCCTTACTCTCATTTTCTGTTTAACCAGTTCTACCTATTCCTCAAAAGGTTGTCTCAAGTCTTCAGGCAGGCATAACACCGCTGGTAATCATTGCGAAATGAATCTCTGCAGCTCCGACATCGTAACGCGGATGGTATCCACACAACTGAGCGCAAGTCTCTTCAAGATTTTCGCGTTTGTGTAGAGGCCACACCGCCGTATTTCCCTCCGAAAGTGCTTTGGATTTTGATCATTCAAACAGTCCAGAAGTCAATCCCAGCCAGAGTTGACGCTTTTCCCATAATCAGTGTTATGTAGACGTTTGGGTCCGATGAGAGTTTACCGAAAAGAATTCCTCACCCTGAACTGATTTCTGAGATTGATTCATTTTAATGAAATGGGCATCTTGGCTTTGCTGAAAACCAGCATTGCCCGTGATTCATGGAAACTTCAGTTTAAGTTCATAAGGAAGATTGAACAAACCTTTGAAGTGCTTCGTGGCTCATGACATCCACTTGCCCCGACATGTCCTCATATACAGCCATCCACCGTTTGACTCACGTGTTATCGTTGTTCGGAATTCCGTCGTATATTTACTACGATCGAGGGGCCTCGCTTATGTCCGATAAACCGAAAAAATTCCATCGCAGTAAAGGTACAGCCACCAGCCGGTCGACCGCTTACCAACCGCAAGGCAACAGTCAAGTAGAAGGCAATCGTTTTAACTTTGAACTGCAAAGGTCTCCCTAGCATCTAATGGGAAACAGTACTTCTAGATGCGCTCTATTCTGTCCAATCGTTGTCATGCACCGCCACCAATGCCACTCCACACGAAGGGATGTTTTCATTTAATCATAATTCAGCCACTGGTATCTAGTTGCCAAATTGGTTGCTGTCACCGGACCCGTCTGATACTTATGAAAAAGAACCACAGAGCCTCGAAGTACGATCTTGCTGTGGAGGAAGTAGAGCTAATAGAGTGCAATCTGTTTTATGCTCATGTGCGCTTACCTTCCTGGCGTGAGGAAACAGTCCCAATGCGGCACTTGGCTCCTCGTGGGGATCAAACATGTGCTCCCAATGACATTCATGACGGAACCAAATCTGTAAACGAACATATAGAGCTAGCCAGTGAAAGCTCATCGAAATATTTCGGGTCATCCACATCTTGCAACTCATCTACTGAACCCGCTCACCACCGAACAAACGGGCAGCCATTGTATTCTAGACCACAACGACCAGCAACACTTGTAGAAACAACAACGTGTAC